GAAGTGTTTCTGAGCCCATGCAGTGATTTCCACTACAGAATCATGTCTGTTTTTAATGCAGTGCTGCCTGAGGGCCCAAAGATCACAGCCAGCAAATACTGGTTTTTGGTTTACCACTTAGAAGTTAATATGCATTACATAAGCTGTTTGTTACTGTGCCTTTACAATTTCCTCCCTTCTAGATCTACCTCAGGCAACTGTAAGTGCTATTTTTGTGTCTAGGAGCAACAACAGCTCAGCCACGAAGCAGTAAACCAAACAAACTTATAGAGTGGGACCACCAAGTGCTAAAACGTGTAGCTTGCAGAAATTGCCTAAAATTGCTCTACCCTCACTACAGAGCTCCAAACAGCCCCTGGAAGCAACATCAGCACAAGAACTGTGTGTTGGAAGCTTAATGAAATGGGTCTCCATGGCTGAGCAGCTGGACACAAGTCTAATATCACTATGCACAGTGCCAGGAGTGGTGTAAAGCACGCCGCCACTGGACTTTGGAGCAGTGGAAACGTTCTCTGGAGTGTCTGCCATATAGTGACACTTCACTATCTGGCAGTTGGATGATGAATCTGGGTTCGATGGACACCAGGAGACGCTACCTACCAGAATGCAGAGTGGCAGCAATAAAGTTTGGTGGAGGAGGGATAATGAGCTGTTGCTGTTTCTCAGGGTTCAGACTCGGCCTAAAGCAGAGTGTCAGTGGGAGCTGAATGTGTCTGAGTTTGTGACGTCACAAAAACTAGGCCCTACAGTGGAGCGTCAGTGGGAGCTGAATGTGTTGGATTTTGTGAAAACAGGTGGTTTCTGGACTGAAGCAAGCAGTTCATTTTGAAATTGTTATATGCTACATAAGTAAATGTATGTTAATCTAATGTAATATTTCTATTGGTTCATTTAACCTATAATGTTTGCAACATATAACCACAGATTATTCATTCACCAGTATGCTTTTAATATATTTCAAGATGCACTGCATTCAATGTGCATCAGTATATCACCTGTTATTTTGTCCATATCATGTATCTGTGCAATACATACAGTTCTAACTTCTGATAAGTTCATAAATTCATAAGCAGTATATATATATATATATATACACACACACTGGAAGTGCACTTTAGTGCTATTTATTGGGTTACATAACTACAAAGCACTTAAATGTCTAAATGCTATAAAATGCACAAAAATTAAATGTCACTCCATACATTCAACAAATAAAAAGATTATAATTTGATGAAGAAAAGTCAAATGTGACCGCATTCCTTCTCTCTTCTAACACAAAAAGAAAAGAAAAGAGTGTCAGGTAGAGCTTAGAAGGACAGAAAGTCGAAAGTGCTGAGAAGCTCTCAGCATATGATGAATGGTAACTGTGCCGAGTCGACCTGTACACCCTTGAATTTCATTCACTTCTGGATGAATATTGATAGCACCTGAATCACAGAGCGAATACAAATGTAATCACAAAACCAACAAAGGGTAGTAGGACTAACCACGGCTGCACCACACTCACAAAACACTAGCATTGACTTTAAATTCTCTTGTGAAAAAGAGGTGTACTTAAGTGCATGCATATCATACTTAGCAGCATATAGAGAACACTAAAAGTACATTTTTGGTCATGCATTTCATGCAAAGGCACTTAAAATATACTTTGCTATGTTTTTCCCAAAGAGCAGCATTTAACCTCTTAAAATTTCAGGCTTATTACATACTGAGGCTTATAATACAGTAACTACAGGGATCTCGGTGCAAACTGGCTGAGCTTTTCTGACATTATAGACGTGTGTAATAAAACTTTGGGCCTGCTGGTGAGTGCTGGCCATTTAAGTGGTTAAAGTAAAACATTTTATATATACTTTAGTATGATGTAAAGAAATACACTGGAAAAAACACATTTCTTAATATACTGAAACATACTTAAAGCAAAAGCATCAACTTAAGTGTATTATTTCAGAGCAATGTCTTTTAACCCTTAAATGTTCTGCTCAATCATTTGGTAGAGCACATTTTGAGTCACTATTTATGCCACAAAGTGCCATCTTGACTGTTTGGTAGATATTTTAAAAATTGTGGGGTCAAAAAAACGAAAAAAAAAAAAACACCAATTGTTTTTTTTATTGCCCAAACAAATAAAAAATACAAAAAATAAAATTCCATTGTTTTTTTTTGGTGAGGACATTAAAGCATGCCTTATTACATTTTAGTTGGTTTCTGTTAAGTAAATACAAGCATGTACATTTTGTGTATTAGAATTAGGCTAAAACAATGTTAGCATAGCATGTCTTAAATATAATTAGTTGTTCCTAACAATATATTTAAGTGTGTACTTAATTATGTTTTATCAATGTTGCTGAATGTATTAAGTGACATTTAAATGCATTTCAGTGCATTTTAGTTGCAATATTAAGTAGCATTAAAGTGCACATCCAGTATATATTTATAATATAAAGTGTAATCAGTGATAACTACTTAAACCTACTTAAGTGCAACTTAAGTTGTTTGAATAAAGCACTCAAAGCAAGTCAGTGCTCAATTAGCATTGCTCAATTATAATTTAAATTTAAGGTTATTCCAAAATAATGCATTTAGTATGTATTAAAATAAAACATTAAAAGTATGTACTTTTCATATTAAATATACTTTTAAAAAGTGCAATAAAATGTGTTTTGCTATGCGTTGCAGTGTGATAGGCCTTGCAATATACGGTCATTTTTACATTGTTTATATATTTTTACGCCAGCTGCCCTTTACATTGCATGAGTATTTTATGACATAGAAATGATCCAAAATGGAATTAAATAGAATTAAACTCAGTACTAATATCTATTTTTTTATCCTGTCATCAGCATCAATCAATCATGTGACATTATTTGGCCCATAATAATTAACTTTTCATCAAAACACCCACAGAGACTCATCTGGAGCTGTGATTGGTCAGGATGATCACAGCACTCAGAGAACAGCTCTATGATTGGTCAGAGGCTCATCTGCATATTGCAGCCTTCTCTATGATGACAGCGATAAACAAGTGACGGTGGAGCCGAGCTCAGTAGTTTGTGAGTGAATTAGAGACTCTGACAGCTGGCCTAGTTTTTCAGTTCCAGGCCTCAACAAAATTCCCAGGAACGCCAGCTTTTCTTCTTCTGTTCTCCTCTTTTCAGGCACGTTAAGCAGATTTCGGGTGTCAGCTGTCTAAGAAAGTCCTCAGTCAAGCTTGGGGATGTCGAAACTTTGCTGCTTAGGAAGAACCGCATGTTTGTGCTGGTCTTTAAAAGAAATTCTAAAGGCTGCAGCGCAATGTCTGAAAATTCAAACTATTTTTGAGCTCCTACATGCATTATTCTACTGAATTAGTTCAAAGTGAGAGTTTAAAACTCATTTTAATCAGCTCGGATTTTAGAAAGTTCTTTTGCTTTGAGTGACCTTAAACCTTAAATGTGTTCATTTTATAAAACGAATGATTGAAGATTCCATTTTGTCACTACCAAAACAATCATAAGACTACCAAAACTTCACCAAGTGTTTCAGTAGTGACTGTTTCGGTGGTGACAATTTTAGTTCAGTTTGAGCAGAACTCAAAAACACAGCCAGGACATGACCAACAAACTCAGCTTTGAACAGCTGTACACATAAAAAACATATTGTTTTCAATGAAACACAAAAACAGATCACTTAACTGCAGAAAATCTGTGTTTCAGTAATGATAGTTCTTAATGATTTACATGATTTTCAGACTTTTTAAATTTAAAACAGTGGGATCTAACTGCTCACCATGTGGCCATGAGGGCCGGGGATGCAGCCTCACTTCCTGCTCTAAAATGTACATATTAAAACTCTTTGTGTTTCACTGTTTTGCCGTGAAAAAAACCTTTTTTAATGAAGTTATTCTTGGTAACACTTTACTTGGATGGTCCACCGTTGATGCTTTGTATATCCTTAACTAACATTCAACTAAATATCAGTGAAATGCAACTGAACTTGAAGTTGAGTGTGAAAGATTCTATTAAACCTAATCCTAACCTTACCTTCAACTCTAAACCTAAACCTAGTCCTAAACCTAATCCTGACCTTAATGTTGTTGTTGAACTGAACATCACCAGAAGGTTTGTTAGTAATTTAAGTGTCTGTAGATCATCTACAGGGGACCATCCAAATATAGTGTGACCTTCTTTTTTATTTAAAAATAAACTCATCTAAATAAATCTAACTGTAGAATCTTTACACATAAAAGAAATCAAAAGAGCTTTGAAAAAATAATACACAATACAACAATATATAAATATTATTTTCATAAGTGTAAACATAGGGTTTACAGTTTGGGACAGACCTCCCAATAGAAAGTACCCTATAAATTATACTTTTGTATAAGTCTAGCCAGTTATTATGTATTAATGCCTTGGGTTTAATAGATCATACCATAATCTTAAACATGTAATATGTCAATATCTAAGGTATGAAAACTGTATTTTACTGTGGCAGTTTGAACTAGCAGGAGGTGGTACTGCATCCCTCTCCCTCATGGCCAGTACAGTAAATGTGTCCCAAAGTCTGAAAATCAGTACGAAACATTTAGAATTTTCCACAGTTAAGTAAATTTTTTGTGTTTTAATGAAAAATATGATGATTTTATGTGTGTACAGCTGTTTGCTGGTCATGTACTGCCTACGTTTTGAGTTCTGCTCAAAATGAGCTAAAATTGTCACCACCGAAACAATCAGTACTGAAACATTTGGTAAAGTTTCGTGAGTGTTATTGTTTATTGTTAATGACAAAATTAAATCTTCAATTATTTGTTTTAATAAAATATACATAATTAATGTCTAGAAACACTCAAAAACCAATTGAATGAACGAATGTTATGATGATATGAAACAAAAGGCTGGTTATCAAACAAGCAAATATTACAGTCAAACAAAGAAAACCTACATTTTCATTTTCCTTCTCTCTCTATATCGTGAGTTTTGCTGAATGCTAACTCCTCCCTCTCCTCCGCTTCTTTTCAGGGTGAAGCTGAAGGACGGTGTTGCATTTTTAGGGGCGAGACCCTGTAACCCCACGCTGTGGATGGTCAGTCAGGACGTCCGGACCGAAGGTCATAAGGTGGTGACCCTGCACTGCCGGAGAAAGGAGTCCAGCTATGGGCAGAGGTCAGTTCTCACAAACAGAAAACCCACCTTCCAGTTTCATTCTAAAGCTGAAATTTTTCGAGATCTCAAACTCTTTATTTTTTTGAGTGTAAAAGTTGTTTTTTCTGCTTTTCACAACTTGAAATGTGATGATTTCCTCTGTAAATCAGTTCTCCCGCCTTCCCACCTTTGACCAGGTTATTGTTGCTGTTCACAATTGATATTCAACGGAAAATATGGCTTCACTTTTTCGCAGAATGAGCCAAAGTCCAACAGAGGTCACAATTCATGACCTTTTCAATCACTGTAGTTCTTGCCAAGTTAAAAATTCTCTATTTTGCTTCCCTCCTTCTGCTCGCTTCTGTGCCCTTCTGCCGCTGTAGGTCAGCGGCTCTGTGTTTCGTGGTCATGGCCTAGAATGTGGTTTATTTGGAAGAAGCGCTTGATCCCAGCCGAGTTTAACTCTGTGTGCAGCTCATGTCACGTCAAGTCAATTCAGTTGAGTGTGTATAAATGGCTTTATATAATGGACATTTGCAGAAAGTTGCTAGAAATCTGTTCTGTTGATAAAAATCACTGTTTTAGAAGCAGGGAATGAACCTGCTTTCGAATAAACATGTCTCTTTACTGGGCAAGACCACCCTTTATTTATTTAATTTCAAGTCAGAATGACCACGAGTACAAGTTATTCATTTTTCAGGAGATATTTGTGAGAGGATCAGATATAAGACAATCCACTTGCTTAAGATAGGAGAAAGTGAGTCTTTCCAAAATCGGAGTTCAAAAAATGATTAAAAGCTGAGAAAATGTGCCTCCTAACAACCACCTGGAAGACCTGGGAGACCCCAAAACTGCCCCCATCAGATAAACAGCACTTAAAGCTTTCATCTTTGACAGAGAGGAGAAAATCAAGCTGCTTCAGATCTGAAAACATCCACAGGTGTTTCTGTCCATCCTTCCACTGTGAGAAGATGACTCAGCGCTGTGGGTCTGAAAGGATGTGTAGCTGTCAAGAAGAACCTCACTGAGAAAAGGAGACGGACACATCAAACAAAGAAGCTGAACAATGGACTGACCACCCCAGAGTCCAGACCTCAGCATCACTGAATGTGTTTGATTACTTCAGAAAATGATCAACCAGCTTCTAAGACTGAACTTTGGAGGTGTGTCTGCAGATTTCTTGAGGAGCTGAAAGTGAGTCTCCTGAAAAGAATGGAAGCTGGAATGAAGGTAAAGTGACACAATAAATACTAACAAATCTCATTTTACAGTTTCTAGGTTTTTTTTTCGACTCTGAAAAATGAATAACTTGTACTTAATTGTCGTTTTGAGTGGAAATTAAACCAATGAATGGTTGATTGAAGAGAAAATGATGACGGTGTTAATAATTACATGGTGCTGCACAGTTTACTAATGAACATGCTGGTGGGCTCGTTGACTGGTTCTGATTGTTTGTGAACTTTAGTGCTCAAACAATTTAGTTGCATTCAGTGCCATAATTAATAGAATGTCCTTTCTTCAACCTGCATATTGTCACATTTTTGCATCACAATATCACATCACAATGCATTATTACACCTATTGTAAAAGACTATGCCTAGCATGAGTGAAGAAATCAAAAATGAAGAAACTGACATTTATTTACAAAAAAAAGCACTAAAATGCATCAACAGTATTATGACAGTTACACAAAAAACAGATCCAAGCATACAGAAGCTAGTGTGAGGCTATTAGGTTGGCCAGTTACTTCACCTCCGGGCCAAATTACATGTTAAAAAAGAAGTTAGCACAAACTCTACAGGGAACAAAGTTAAAATTTGTTATTTTCTGTTAAAATATAAAACTTTTGCACCGGCCACATTTATGTTTTACCTTTTTCCCCCAAAAAATTCAGCAATTTAGCAAAGAAACAGTCATTATTTGGTGAAATGTGTTGGGTCTCACTTTATTTGGATAGTCCACTATAGATCATCTATAGATCATCTATAGATCTTCAAATTGTTAACAAACTTTCTGCTGAAATTCTAAACAGTGGTGGGGTTAGGGTTAGGATTTAGACCAGGGTTAGGACCAGAGTGAGGGTAGGGATTAGGTGCCAGAGGCTGTGGTTAAGGTTAGGGTTAGCATTAGAGCCAGGTTTAGAGTTAAAGACAATGATAGTCAATTTAGTAGATATTTAGTTGGAAATAATTTAAAAGTAAATTAAGTATCTATAAAGCATCTGAAGTGGACTATCCAAATTGTTAGGCTACGTTCACATTACCAGGTTGAAGTGGCACAGATCTGATTTTTGGCCCTAATGTGACTCAGACCTGATGTTTTCAGGGCTGTGTGGATGCAAATCTGACCTTTTCAAATCCACCTGAGCCACTTTCATATGTGGTCCTAGGTCAGATACGTATACGATTCGTGGCCATGTGACCTTAATGTGATGCTCAGATTGGAATTCATGTGCTTTTTTCCCACTGCGCGTGTGCCGTAATTCAGGGTTACCATGGCAGCAGCGCCGAACAGGAGTTAAAGCCTGTAAACGGTGGAAAAGCAGCTCATCTCACCTTTTTCTCCTCCGTCTCGCTCTAATAATGAAGCTGAGAGCTGATCAGAGTTAATTATCTTCAGCGAAGCTCGTTCTGCTCGTTAGTTTGTGCTGATGATGCACGTGATTCATTCACGTGACGTTACTGAGTAGGATGTGCTCATGAGGGTCATTTCAGGACGCCGGTTCGTCACATTAATGACAGATTTGAATCACTTACCTAAACGAGTGCGAACCATTGTGTCAGAGAGATCGGATTTGAGCAAAAAATCAGATTTGAGCAACGAGGCTTGTAATGTGAACGTAGCTTTAGTGGATGTGTTAACTTAGAAAATCACAAAATATATTATTTGTTTGGGGCACCCAAACTTTTGCACTCAACTTTATGTGATCCCTGTTCCAGTTTCTCTGCACTGTGCCTCATTCAGAAAGGCTGAAACACTTCTACATTAGTGGGCGGAGCCTAACTGCTGGTGACTGAACACAGTAAATGTGGTAATTCTTTTGACATCACAGTTATTTAAAAAAACTGACATTTTTACAGCTTAGTTTTAATATATGGGCTGTACACGCTGGGAAATGTTCCCAATTTCATAGCCATTGCAAATCTTTTTTTGATTTTCAAACAGTAGTTCTATTGTATAGGTCTGTTAATGAGATGTTCACACAGTAGAGAGTTTGCACGTTGGTGAACCTTGTAATCGCTGCAAGAACTTATTTAGATTTCTTGGCTTCTTGTTAAAATTTTTCGGCCAAAATCAACCCGAAGAAAAGGATCTTGGGATCGTTTTCACTGTGCCTACCTTTTTTTTTTCTAAAGGCAGTTCTGTTAGCAAGGCTGTTCTGACAGGACAAACTAGATTAGAAAGTTGGGAGATGTTTCAGGCCTCAAATTAGTTTCATCTTACCAGCCTCGACTGGGCTGGAGTCAAAAGTGTATTACTTCCATTAGCATATTTCCAGCATGCTTATATTAGCATCATCCTCTGATGTGAGAAAGCCTCAGAAACAGTTTTGGCCATTTTCCTGTCTGTGTTTACTGGCTCTTATTAATCTCATAAATAAGAAACCGCTTGCCTGGATGAGGAGGGAAAAGTCCTTTTTTCGCCGTAATTAAGTGCGGAGCCACAGTCTTTGTGCGCCTTCGTGCTTTTAATCGCGTATTTCCACGGGTCAGGAAATAGCGTTAATGAACCGGGCGCTGCTCTGACAGGTGTAATTTTACGCATTAGAGGCAGATTGTTGGAGGTCACTAAACTGGAAAGATTAAGGCCGACGCCATAAGGCGGCTCGGCTTACGAGCGCGGATATGAAATACACGGGTAAACATATCGCTGAGCCGCTAAACTCCGCGGCTATTCATCGGGAGTGAACCGAGAGGGCCCTTTTCTATTCGCCGGCTCGTTTTCTCACGCGCTGCCTTATTTAATTGGACCTGAATGTTGTTGAAAGCTGTGGCGTTTCTCTTATAGTCTGGCGAATAACAAACTCTCAGTTCATTTGAAAAGGGACCGACCTCAAATTAGCATTTAAAAATTGCGTTCTCTTTAGTTACTGACATGTTTTGTGCCTGGAAACTCATAATTAATGCATAGTTGAAGTGTGAAATGTTTTTAAATACACCCCCATTCAAATGAACCCAACAGCATTCTGTATTACACTGTGAGGCTTAAAGATACACTAGATCTATTAGCGTCGAGATGCTATCATTAAGGGTGAAAATCTCCCTATTGCCTAGGACTAAAGAACAGGAAAAGGAGCTCAATCATTTTCAAGGTTTTTTTTTTTCCTGTGTCTGCTTCCCTGGCGCATCTCCTAGAGCAAAATTAGAGGATCTGATTGAGTTTGCCAGAGGGGCAAACTAGATCAGTGAATTATTGTAAAGCATAAATCCAATGCAGGATATCGTAACTAGCGAGATAAAAGGAGCAGCCTTAAATTTGAAAGACGTCGCCGCTAAATTGGGAGCTTTTCCTGACAGGTGTTTGTGTGTTGGGTAATTATAGCATCTAAGCATTTTTGTCTGATTTCCTAACTCCTAAAATAAACACTGAAAATAACTTTTTCTGCCTTAAGATTGTTGGAAAGGCTGTTTGCTATTCATAAACTCCTACACACGCAGCACCGGGCGAGCGCTGGAAAAATCCTCAGCAAATAAGCGCTTGTAAAAGATTAGCCACACTGCTAATTGCTAGTGTTTCACAACCGTCTCTGCTTATAGTGCGACGATCCCCTCATATGGAGGGCAAAGGAGCTTTTTTCATTAATCAATACTGTATTTTCAATGCAACAGGCATTCAGACATAATCAGTGAACATGGTTTTGTAGCCTACGCTGCTGATTGTAGCACTTGTTAGTGCTAGCACAACAAGTTAGCACAGTTAGCGCCATCAATCAGCAAAGTATTCTAACCTTGCATCTTTAAGCTAATGTTAAAGTTTCAGTCTCAAGGCTATCAAGAGCCTGAGTACATTTATTTGGTCTC